TGTTGTTGTTGTTGTTGTTATTGTTATTACTGAACAAATAGGGTTTATTTCAGGAATGATTCAATCAACATTGTAAAGCAATCAGGATAATTCACCATATGACCAGAGAAAATATTTTAAAAATCATATGATCGTCTAGGCTCAGTGACTCAGTCTGTAATCCCAGCACTTTGGGAGGCTGAGGCAAGTGGATTGCCTGAGTCCTCGGGTTTGAGACACACCCTGGCAACTTGGGGAGACCTCGTTGCTACAATAAATCAAAAATTACCTGGGCGTGGTAGCACATGTCTGTAGTTCTGTCTACTAGGAAGAAGGAAGTGGAAGGATCAGTTGAGCACAGCAGTCCGAGGTTAAGGTGGCCAGGATCATGCCACTGCACTCCAGTCTAGGTGACAGAATGAGACTCCTACTCAGAAAAAAAATCACATGATCCTCTCAATACAGACAATTAAAAGGAAGTGTTAGACAAAGTTCAGCATACATTTATGACAAAAAGTGCTAGTAAATAGGAAAATAAGATAACATCTCTAAATTAATAAAGGTGATCCACAGCTGACATCACCCAAGATCAGAGTGAAGCGAGGATACTTATGGAGGTGGATTTGAAACTAACAAGATCCTCAAGGAAGGCCATTGCTTAGTGGGGAGGAGACTGTCCTCTCTACAGACAGCTGGCCAGTAAGCAGAGGCTTAGTTGCAGCCAAGACTAAGATGGACATTTTTGACAAGAGATGGCCCTCAGGGAAAGACATGTCTCCACCACCCTGCTGTTAGTGAGGAATCTGTGGTAAATGTGGATGAAAGGAGGAGCCCAAAACTTCTATCCTGTCCCTAGACAGATCTAGTCAGCATATCCCAGGTCCACCTGCTGAGGGCCAAGAGACAGAAAAATAGAAAGGAAGAGGGTCCACCCACACTCTTAGGTGGGGCCAGTGGGGGAAGAGAGCTGTAGGGTCTGGCCACATTGAGAATAGCAGCCAGACCATATTCAGGGGCTCCTTCAAGGGGAGATTGGGAGACTGGGAAGCCCCTGAGGATGGACATCATAGAAGGAACAACCTGGCACCACACCACTGTCATCCTCAGAAGGGGATGGCAAGCACCACATCCCCTACAATAACAGGAAAGCCAAGGTCCCCCAATGTAGGTACATTATGGAGACTGAGAAGTCCTAGGGAAATCATTCTTCAAGCTGGAAAACCAGGGAGAATTATAGTCATGGCTCAGTCCAAGTCAAAAATATTGAGAACCTGGAGTTAGTGGTCAAGTCCCAAAGGCCAGGGAACCTGGAGTTCTGATGTTCCAAGGAGGAGAATTGGAGGGGCCCAGCTCCAGAAGAAAGATGAAGAATTGGCTTCTATCTGCCCTTTTGTCCTATTCAGACCCGTAGCCAAGTAGATGCCCCATCTTGAAGGTGGATCTTCCACTCAGTCCAGTCATTCCAATGCCAATTTATTCCGGAGACACTCTCACAGAAACACCCAGAATTATGCTTCACAAGCTGTCTGAGTATCTTAGTCCAGTTGACGCTTCACATGAACCATCACAGGGATTGATGTCTTGTTATCATCTACACACTTAAGGCTTTCAGAGAATGCTACCCAGAATATCCTACAGTATCTCCAGTCCTGAAGATGGGACAGCAGTTCTCAAAAAGTTCAAGGACTCGAGGAAAATGTAAAATATCTGGGTGTGGTCTTCAATGTTTGCATCTAATATATGGTAGCCTGAGAACTGTCCCCAGTGATTAAGGACAATAATTCACAGGCTCACTAATCAAAGTTTGGGCAGAAAATGAGGGGATAACATGGCAGTTTCATCTGTCCTACAGCCCACAGGGGGATCTTTATTTGCTGAGATTACTTATTAGCTGTTTTTGTGACTCTGGGAGATTCTACTGATATGGAGAAAGTGAACACCCTTCGGGGACGTATGTCCACAGTTCTGAACCACAACAAGCATGATCTGAGGGCTTTGAATGCTGAAACAACTGCAATAACGAAAGTGGTCTCACAGACCCAAATGATTCTAGATGTGCTGACAGGTATGCAAGGGGAAATCTGCAACTTTTATTTTTAAAAATAAATTTTGATTTAAAATTATATGACTGCTTAATGTAGAGGAGAACTTTCTATGTTCCCAGGGCTGATCTTTAACTCCTGGAGTCAAACAATCCTCCCACCTCAGTCTTACAAATGCTGGGGTTACAGGCATGAGTCAACAATCATGTCCAGAGGTTAGAATGTGTACAGTGTTTTGTGTATGTTTCAAACAAAATACTAAAGTCAATTAATCTCTCCTTCACTTACACTAATAACTGCAGTCAATGCGTGGTGCATGACCCCTGCTGTCTACAATAAAAGTATGGATTTTGGACGGGTTTCTTGATGAACAGTTCTGCTTCCAAGTCCTTTAGAAACTGGATGGTGAGCCTTGTGACATGTGGCTGAATTTACTGCTGGTGTCCGTTTAATTCCTAGTGTTTCAAAAAATTAGGGAAAAGTGTCTTACAGGTGATCCCACCTCTGCAGCCATTTCAGGGATCATCTTGAATAGGTGGGCCTGTAAGAGTGTAACAACCATCGGGATAAGATTGTAGGGTTTCCTGGGATTCCCCACTTTCTTCTCTGTCCTGGTGAGGAAACACAGATTGCTGTGACTTCTCTGTGCCCAGGACATCTGGTTCACCTGCAGGTTTGATCCAAACTGGGGCTTAGAACCTTCCCAGGATTCAAGGAAGCTGTTTAGATTGTTCAGAAACACTGAGAAATTAATCCTTTGGCATAGTACATAGAAACTTGCCCTGGCCTGAGACAAATTCCTTAAACCCGCATACCAAACTCCATACCCAATGCCCTCACTGCTGCTGCGAACTTCCTGTATCTCCCTGTCAGCCTCCAGGACACACAACAGCTCCTTCAGATGGGAGCCCAATAACAAACACTTTGGACTGAGTGCCTTGATGTTTAGCACCTCTTTGCTTGAAATTCCAGTTGACCCATGGTGGGACGGTTTGGACACTCTTTTGAGGGACTTACTTGTGCTGCTTTAAGTCCACTCCAGCCTGAGTTGTGGATGAAGTTACAGCTTCTAGCCCTCCTCTGAAGCTCCAACTCCTCCATGTGGGCAGACTCCAGACTTCCTGAATCCAGAGAGAGATAGAAGCCTGCACCCTAATGACCTATTGAGGGGCCCAGACACCTGTCCCAACCCAGTTTTGACTTCTTTTCTTTGGTGTGGATCCATCTCCATATGGGGAACTTTCTTGTTTCTGCACATGACTGTGATGCACTGCATATTAGAAACATTTTAAGATAATTTATTGGCATTAGGAGATGCTGTGGGCTCTTGAGTGGGCACATCGATTGTCCACCCAGACTGTGGAGACCAACACTCGTGTCCCAACCCCTCATGTCCTAGTCTGGGATGGAAATGAACCATGATTGAGTTTCTCGCATGTCCCAGGCACCCCTGACTCCACACCACTCTGAACAGGGGATTAATGAGAAAACTGAGGCTCAGAGATGGGAAGTTACTGCCCAAGATCACACAAGAAGTAGATGGTAGCTGGGAATGACATAAACATCAACTCCCCACCTCACTCCCCAAGATGGTGCTCAGGTCTGAGTAGATGTCCCCAAACCTTAAGCAAAGACTGTGGTTCAGAGAGAGAGATGAGGAAGGAAGGGGTCCTGAGGGGACAGGAATTGCAGAGTTGTGTTCTCAGAACGGAAGAGGGTGGATGCTGCTGCGAACAGAAGAAGAAGAAGAAAGAGTAGAAAGGAGAAGAAAAAAAACGGAAATACAAGAAAGAGATGATTCAATACAAAGAAAATCCACACTGCAGGGCAAGGAGAGAGGCCACATTTATTCCACTGCATTCCTTTGTGTTCTTTGCCCCATGCATCTCAACATGACCTAGACACTCACGTGACAACTATGTCTCTGCTGACCTGAATCTGCCATGCAACATGAATCTGTGTCTTCCCTGAAGTGTCTCGGGTCTGGCAAGATAACTGTTCATGGTGAGGACTCCACAAGGATACGCTGATGAAGTGAAGGAGATGAAGTGGCTGAGAGCGAAGGAGATGCCATGGGAGACTCTAAAGGGAAGGAGGAGTCCTGGTCATCCAGCTCAGGAAGACAATGGGTTTATTTGCTGCTGTGACTTGGGCCTCAGTGGGATGTGGACAGATTAGGGGGACAGTGTCCAAGGGTGAGGAGAAACCTTATTTCTGTCTGAAATGTCTGAAGAAAGCCTGGTGCCCAACTCCAGCCCACCCCTGGGGAAGTGATAATCAGTCCTTGGGGAGGGCAGTTCCCCTTCCTGTGGAGCTGTTGCTGTGACAACTCCTTGACAAGGAAAGCCCTGTCTCTGGCCACACACTGTGTGTCTGTCCTGCATGAGACCATGGTCTCATCCATCTGCACAGCCAAAACCAATGGGAGGACATGTCATGAACCTGACCCTCACAGCCCTGCTCTGTCTCAGTGAGATTTCAAAAGGGGGAGGAGAGACCCTAGTCTGACCCTAGCTGACCCTTACAACCAGCTCCTGATCCATGATGAGACCACAGGTGCTCAGGAAACCACCAGGGGAAGAGGACTTGCTCAGGCTTCAGAAGACAGACCTCTCATGGTAACTTTTTCAGGGCTGAGTCTGGTCCCCAGGACCTGAGCACAGGCAGGTGAGTCTATCCCCAGCTATCCCAGGTCCCTCCTCCTCACTGGAGGTGAGGTTCTAATCCTAGGAAGCTTTGAATGGGGAACAGCAGTTCTGGGATCTGAGAGTGTTCTGGGATCTCAGGGGTGGAGATGTCATGGGACCCAGGCTCTGATTTCCTTCCAGGAACCCTCCCAAAACCCACCTTCTGGGCTGAACCATACTCTGTAATCACCTGGGTTAACCCCATCATGATTAGGTATTCCAGAAGTATGATCTGTATAAAGAGGAAAGCTCAGTGCTCAGGAACATATGGAACACAGTGGAGCACGATAAAATGGGTAAGTTCTACATCCCATACATGACAGGTGAGTATGCAGGAAGAGATTGCTGTCACTATCACAGCCCAACTGGAAGATCAGAGCAAGGGACTCCCAGGAGTTGGTGGTGACAGGTGAGAAAATGCTCAGGGATCCCAAGCCCAGGTTCTTCCTTGAGGAAGGGGTTGTGTCTGCAGGGATGTTTCCCCTCTCACAGCCCAGCTCCTGGGGATCATGTGGGAGATGTGATCCCCATTTAACATGGTGTCTCCCTTTCTCCTTGAAGCCTACAGCAAACCTACTCTCTCGGCCCTGCCCAGTTCTGTCATGAACTCAGGAGGGAACAGAACACTCCAGTTTGGCTCTTGGTTGAGATTTGAAAAGTTAATTCTCATTGAGGAAGGAGGACACAACCTCTCCTGGACTCACAGCAACACCCCAGTGGGCAGTTTCAGGCCCTGTTCCCTGTGGGTCTTGTGACCTCCTGTAGGTGAACGTTCAGATGCTATGGTTGCTACAGGAAAAAGTCCAGAAGTGGTCAGAACCAAGTGACTCCCTAGACATCCTGATCACAGGAGAGAAAGCCATGGTCCTATCTCTTACAATTTTGAGGCCCCAGTTTGTTGGGACTTTAATTGACAGCTGACCATGGTAAGAACCCCACAAGGATGTATTGATGGATGGGCTGAAGAGTGAAGGAGATCCTATGAGAAGCTCTAGAATGAAGGAGGAAACCCAGGAATCTCTCACCTGGAATGGGCCATCTCAGGAAGGCACAGGGTCTATTTGCTGCTATGTCCTGGTCACTGGGAGATGGGGGCAGAACAGGCAAACAGTGGCCAGAACAGCCCAGGTGAGAAGAGAAGCCCTGTTGGGGAAAGAGACACACAGTGTGAGTGACAGTGAGACCTGCATGGATAGTACAGAAAAGGGAAGATGAGGGAGGAACTATCTCTGCCATCTCAGTTCCTCTTTCCCGCAAAGAGTGTCTAGGAAACTCTTCCTCCTGATCCAGCAGGGCCCTGTCATGGCCCCTGGAGAAAGCCTGACCATCCAGTGTCACTCTGATGTTACCTATGACAGGCTCACTCTGTCCAAGAAGGGGGGAGGGTATCTCCCCCAGCATCCTGATCAGCAGCACTAAGCTGGGATCTCTCAGGTGGACTTCTTCCTGGACCCTGTGAGCAGCTCCCCTTGGGGGTCAGTAGAGATGTTATGGGAGAAACAACCTCTCCTTTGAGTTGTTGGTCCACAGTCACCCACCTCAAAATCCAGATCACAGGTGAGGATCCCAGCAGGTTCAATCAGGAGTCCAGACTCCATACAGACTGTGCTGGGGAAACCTCAAGTGGTATGGCCAGGATGAGGCATGGGGTATCAAGGAATGGAGAGATGGGGAAGGGGAGAGACTCAGACAACAGAGACTGAGGGTCTTCAGAGAGAGGCCCTGGGGAAGTCTCAGCTCAGAACAATGTGTGGCCAGCCCCTCACCCTTCCTCTTCTCTGTAGATCAGCTCCCTGGCAGACCCTCTTTCTTGGTGCAGCTGGGCCCTGTGGTGGCCTCAGGAGAGAATGTGACCCTGCTGTGTCAGTCAGGCATGGAACTCGGTGGGCAATTTCCTTCTGTACAAGGAGGGAGAAGCCAGTCTCCCCCTATTACGTCTAAGGTCAAATTACTGAAGTCAGCTGTACTAGGGTGAGTTCTCTTTGAATTCTGTGACCTCAGCCCACAGGTGGTTCTACAGATGCTATGGCTCACATAACACCTCCTCCTACCTGTTGTCATATCCCAGTGATGACCCGGGAACTGGTGGTCTTATTTAAGGACCCAAATCGGCCCTCCCTAACTCAAAGATTCAGCTCAGGGACCGGCCCCCAGAAGAGCTCTGGGTAATAAGGAATAATGAGAGTGAAGGAGGAGGGTCCACAGCAGAGGATCCAGTCCATGAGAGGGTGGACATAGATGGAGACCTCCCACCCCTAGGCACCCACCCCTGAATTCTCAATCAGAGTAGAGAGCAGGGAGGGCTGGAAGGAGACGTGGGTGAACTTCCGAGGATGTGAGATTAGACTGAAGGTTCATACAGAGTCCCCTAACCTGCACTGGAGGATGTGTGATGAGTGGAAGGAGAAGGACAGGCTGTTTCAGCAGGATTTGGTATTCCGACCTGATGGGGATTTAGGGAAGATGCTGGGGCTAACAGAGGAGGAAGAAAATGGGTGAGGTGGAGAGAGAACAGTTAGATATTCCCTTAGCATTTCTTCTTCCTCGTTTAAAAGAAACTCTGAGGATGAAGCCCCTCGCCCACACACGAGGGAATCCCTGAGCTCTCTCAGATCAGAGCAGGAGGTTTCTCGGGCCTCCATGAGACCTGCCTGTGGTTAAGGTGGAGCCCACATCAGTCAGCCATGCTCCTTCAGAGAGAAGCCCCCAGCTGTGGGTACTGTTCATCAGGGGCCCTCCTGTGCTTACCTGGCAGCCTCTATATCAGGACACACCTGAGACTAAGGAAAGACCATGCAGCTGATCCCTGGGGCAAGTTAAGGAATTATTCAAAGCACATTTTGTGTGCAGTTCATTTCTACATTTTCTTGTCTGGGCAGAATTGCCTGCGGCTACTCTTTTAAAAATTTATGGCTAAAAAAAGGAATTATCTGATATTCATTAAGATAGAAAACATGTATACATTCATTACAGAAAGTAATTTCTTATTAATATCAATTATTATCATCAAAGATGTTTAAAATTGAGGTTTATTGAAGAACGTATGTTGCCCAGGCTGGACTCAATATCCTGAGCTCAAGGCATCCTTTGACCTCAGCCACCTGAGTAGCTAGGACTGTGGACATTCATTACTGCACCCAGCTACTTTTTTAAATAATACTAAGGTATTTTTTAACATAGCTGTTAATTGGCATTTATTGATTTTTCTTCATATTAACTTAGTATTTCCTTTCAAAGTAAGTTTATTTCTTCTTTACTGATAAAATTTATTTTATCATAAGTAAACAAAAAATTACTTCCTTATTTCCAAATTATATGTCAATTTTTATCACTAGAAACATAAATATATATGCAGGGGCATATATATCTATTAAGTAAATAACTAGAGTTTCACATATCTATATGTATGTATGATTATATACATACTACATGTAAATATATATGTCCATTTATATACATATAATACATGAATAAATATTCATTAAAATGTTTAATATTTTTCATCCAGTGAGCTTTTTATGTTTGTTATTGATCTTCATTACTGGATTCACACTTCAAAAATAGGGAGTTCCGGTAAGATGACAATGACACAGGTGGGACTGTGAGATTCTCTGAAAGTGAGTTTTCCTGAAGACTCTTACTTTCCTTCCCCCACCCCCACTCCTCGCCCACCGTCAGCCACACTGGTCCAAGACCTAGAGACCCTCGGTCCAGTCCCATGCACAGCCAGCTACCACAGTCCCTCGCCACTGCTGTTCTACCCCAAGATGCCCTGAACTCAGGCTGCATGGAGCTCCCAGCTCCCTCCCTGGCTACACCATCTCACCCGACCCCAAGTCACCCGCCCTGCCTTGTGGAGATCTGGGTTCTCTTGCTGGCTACACTGATCTGCTCGGCACTCAGCAACTGCCTGCTACCTCCCTGGCTAGGCGCCCAGCCCAGTCTCTGGCCATGACAGCCCATGGACGCCATCCACAACTGCCCCTTAGAACTACAGGCTCCATTCCCACCTGGGGTGCCTCACCAGACCCAAGACCACCCCTGCCCACAGAGGCCCCCAGCACCTGTGCCTCTGGACTCTGCACTACTGCCTGGGCTGAAGCACCTAAAGCCATGACCAGTGTTCAACCCTCAGAGTTCTGGATACCCACCCTGGGTTCCAGGTCCCCACGCAGCCCCATCTCAAGCCACTGTTGCCCAGTGAGGCTCTAGGTGCCCGTCCCTCAGAGATACCAGCTCCATTCCTGGCTGAAGCACCCTGTGCGGGGCCCAAAGCCACTGCCACCACCTGCCATCCACCCTTTGGAGCTCCGGTCCCCACTGTGGCTGAGGTGCCCAGCAGTCTTGCACTCCATTTCTCCCAACTCATTCCTGACTACAGTGGGTCCAGAAAACAGCTGGAGCCCTGTGACCAGGCAGAGTCCTGAAGTGATGCACCCACCCAGCTCTGCCTAACCTCCAACTTGGGAGCTAAGACCCCATGGTTATGTAAGGGAACAGTACATCTTAAGGAGGTGCTGAATAGCTGCTTTCAGCTCTAAGCTCAGGCCTGGGGAATTCCAGGCTCCCTCCTCCATCCCCAGCCACTGGCAGCATACCAAATGCAGCGCCCAGCTATATAGCTGACTCCCAGTGCCTGATGCCAGACACAGACCACCACAGCCCATCATAGTGGATCATCCACAGAACAGATGACTGGAGAGAAAGGACGGGTGGAGAGAAAGGATCATTTAAAGAGGAGCCGCCCACCGCAGCCCTTTTCCAGGCAGAGATTCACATTGCCCTGCCCATCTATGAGCAGCCTCCACCTTGGTTTCTAAGGTAACCTCACCAAATGGGAGACAGAAGGCCCTCCCCTACACTTAATCAGACACAGACAATTCAGTCCTGTGGCAGACCTCTCAGGCAGCAAGCCAAGGGAACCAACCCAAGGCATGAGTAAATCTATCTGCCTGCAATGAGAACAAAGAGAAGAGGCTAGAGATCAGAGCTGAAGAGACTTTAGACACTCAGGAAAGGCTCCAGAGCTAGTCTGGTTTCTTATCTTGGTTTTCGATTTTATGTTTTGACTGCTTTGTTCACTTTTGTTTGCTTTTTGAGTTAGACTACTTGTTTGTGTTGGGGAAAAGCACATCAAAAGGCATGATTTTATTGGACTGTCTTTGTGTGATTACCGGTATGCTTTAGGGAATCTTGTTTGTTTGTTTTTTACTCTTTTCTGGCCTTGTGTCTCTTTTCATTCATTAGTTGGTATGTATGTCTGTTTTCCCTCTTACTCTTCTCTCTCTCCAACTTCCTCTTGACCCCCTTCTTCCATTGTATTCCTTTTTCTTACCTTCTTTGGTTCCAGGGAGCAAACTTAAACCCCACCACATGAACACATTGTAAGGCAGTGGGAATTGTGTTCCAGTGTGCCCATACGCCAGTTGGTGGATACTTGGATCTGCAAATAGATTCTGAATTACAGCTTCCCCATCAAATAAATTTAAAAACTGCAAAAAGTACAGCCCCAACCCACAGTCCAGCTTCAAAAGTGAACAAAGCCAGAGGACGCTCATAAGGAAGAAGAGGAGACTGAACAAAAAGAAGTAAAAGCAACTCTGCATTCCCTGAAAAACAGAATTAAAGAAGGGAGGGGAAAGAGGGAGACAAAAATCTACACAAATGAAGAAAAACCAAAAGAAGAATATGTGTCTCTCACAGAACCCTGGGAGGTCAGACACTGAGAAAACAGACTTTGGAATGCAAACAATAAAGAGACCCCAGAATTACTAGTCTCAAACTAAAAAACCAGATATCAAGACATTAATGGAGAGATTAAAAAGAATTGAGGAGAGACAAGAGGAAATTAGGAAGGAGTTGATAACTGAGATAACAGTAGTAAAGAATACCGTGAATGAAATAAATAACAAACTGATAAGTATGGAGAGCAGAATTAGCCAAGCAGAAGAAAGAATCTTAGAACTTAAGAACCAAAATATAGAACTAACCCAAACTGTGAAAAACATAGAAAAGAAGCTTTAAAAGACAGAACAAAACCTTCAAGAGATGAGTGATTACTGCAAGAGACCAAACGTAAGAGTTATTGGAGTTCCTGAGGAAGAAAGAGAGGCAGAGACCACCCTGGAACAAACATTCCATGAGATTATTCAAGCAAACTTCCCTTATCTCTTCAGTGATGCGAAAATTCAAACACAAGAGATTCAAAGAACCCCTGCAAGACAACAAATGAGAAAACCAACTACCAGACACATAATAATTTGCCTAAACAAAGTAGGTATAAAAGAAAAAATCTTAAAGGCAGCAAGAGAAAAAGGTAAGATTACCTACCATGGAAGACCAATTAGAATAGCAGCAGATTTATCTACATAAACCCTTCAGGCTAGAAGAGCTTGAAGCCCTATCTTCAAAGTTCTAAAAGATAAACAATTTCAACCAAGCATAACCTACCCAGCCAAGCTAAGCTTCATCAGTGAGGGAGAACTAAAATCTTTCCCAGATATCCAATGCCTAAGAACTTACACTGCCACCAGACCACCTCCTCAAGAAATACTTAAGAAATTATTAAACACAGAAGAAAAGGAAAAAAGAACAACAACATTCTTCACAAGAGTACTGGAAAAAGATTCTCAAACTATAAGAATCTTAGAAATCGCAGGAGATAACCTTATGCAAATTGAAACTGGCAACCAATTTCTATTCAGAAACCTAAATGCCAATACTTTAAGAAATAAGATAGACAAGCAGGACCGCATGAAATTAACAAGCTACTACAAAGCAAAAGAAACTATCTAGAGAGAAGGGAGACAGCCCACAGAATGGGAAGGATATTTGCCTATTGTATATCTGACAAAGGCCTAATATCTGGGATCAACAAGGAACTCAAATTTGCTGAAATGCAGAAAAACAAACAGCCCCAATAAAAGGGAGCAAATGACATGAATAGACACTTCTCAAATAAAGATATACGGGCAGTCAACAGATACATGAAAAAGTGCTCAGCGTCACTCATCGTCAGAGAACTGCAAATCAAAACCACATTGAGATACCACCTAACCCCAGTAAGAATGACCATCATTAATAAAACAAACAACAGATGTTGGTGAGGATGTGTAGAAAAAGCAACACTTCTACACTGTTGATGAGAATTGCAATAATAGAGGCAAAGAAGTTCTATTCACAATAACAATAACGTGGAACTAACCATGCTGCCCATCCAAGCTGTACTGGATTAAAAAATGTGGTACATATACACAATGGAATATTATATAGCCATAAAGAAGGACAAACATATGGATTTCGCAGCAACTTGGATGGATTTAAAGCCAATTATATTCAGTGATTTATCACAGAAACAAAGAACATATTCCATATACCAAATACCATATATTCTAACACATAAGTGGACCTTGAACAACTATAATACTATAAGAAAGGCATTGGCAGCAGTGTATACTGTCGGGGTGGTGGGATTGGCATTGAGGGAAACTGCTAGAGGAGCAAAGGGCATCAACAAGGGTATTTGCACAAAGTTTGTATACCTAGCCCTGAATTTTACCCCACATCTTTATAATAAAAATATTTTTAAATTAAACATTGATGTCATTATAAAATAATTATTTTACTACTAATAATGTGTCACTCTAATTTATAATCACTGATGTGTTTTTAATTTATCATAAACTACTAGACAAAGTTAATCATTAAGAATCAACTAATCAATTATTCATTGTTTATTATTAAGAATGTATTTATTTGTCATGTAAATATCTAATTGGTATTTTTCTCATTGGAGCACAGTGTCACAGGTGCTGTTGATTTAAATCAACAATGAGATAGATGTGACTTACAATCCTATGAGATATTTTATTTGCTTAACTTCTTCTGTTTGTCTTCAAAACCATCATAACTAATTCTTAAGTACATGTCATTCCATAATAGAAACAAATATTTATTTAGGTAAAGAGAGGTACATTGACTGTGTTGGTAGCATGAAATAGGTTTGAAAAGTAAGGTTAGCCAATTTCTTAAAATTACAAAATATCTTAACCTTTGTTATGGGTAAATAATAACAATTTTCTCCTGTGGGCTTTTTTATATAAAAATGTTCCATATTGACTTTATCATCTTTGTAAGTATTCTGTGAATTTTGGAAGCCCCCGGGCCACTGTGGACCCTGAATCTGCCTGTCAGTGTGGAGGCTTGTGGAGAATAGGTGATTAATGGATGTCTGACTTAGGTCACTGAACTCACCATTAAGTTATTTCACTGGCCCTAGAATGATCAAGAGATACTGACATTCTTAGCAACTGGTGCTGACTTTTTGACTTACGAGGCAAAACATATGTGGAAGGACAGGCAAAGTGGAAGGTACTGGAATTCCCTCCCCCACCAGAATAGTGAAGCAGAAGTAATGCCACATCCTGGAGGGATTTAAGGGTTGGTGCCTCCTGCAGGACTTCCACATTCTTATTCCATTTGACTTACACAAAAGACAGATAAGGCCAGGCATAGTGGCTCAAGCCCGTAATCCCAACACTTTAGGAGACTGAGGCGAGAGGATTGCCTGAGTCCACGGGTTCAAGAACAGTCTGGACAGCTTGGCAAGAACTCATCTCTACAATAAATTAGCCAGGCGTGGTAGCATGCACCTGTAGTTCTAGCTACTTGGAAGACTGAGGTGGAATGATCGCCTGAGATTAGCAGGTCGACATTGGGGTGTCCATGAAACATGCCACCTCTCTCTAGCCTGGGCAATGGAGTGAGATTCCTACACACACACACATACATACATACACACACACACACACACACACACACACACACACACACACACACGAAGATAGATGAATCTTGAAGGATGGCAGTGGATTCTTGAAGATCAGGTGTGGATTCTAACTTCAGCCCCTGCTTCCAAGGAAGGTTAATTACTTGAGAAAATCCTCAGGTCTCGTGACACCTTATGTACTGTTACTTATCTGTAGAAGTTTGTTTTCTATCAGCTATTTTTAAAGGTCCTTGGGGTCAATCATGCATGTTTGATCTTCATCACCTGGCCTGCCCTCTAGCATCTCATGGACAGGGACCAGGGTCACCTCAGAACATTATACGAGTTCATTACATTCATGATTTGTCAACTGGACCTGTCAGGAAATAGTCACTATTCTAGATAGTTTGTGGAACTAATGCCACAAACAGAATCTGGGAAATATACTCCCCAAAATATAGGTTGTTACCACCTTGGTAAAAATAATTCAGTTGCCTGAAGCCTACTGAGATATCCAGCCCAAGATAAAGGCACATCAATCCATCTGATTATCTTACTTATTAAAAAAGAAGAAAACCCAATACTGTGTGAACATCTTTTAAAATTTGTCACACAGCTCCCAAGTTGTTGCTGGGCTCCAGGAGAGAAGTAACCCGTGGCCATGAGCAGGCAGGTCACCATGTGACATCTACTTCCTATCATGAACTGGGTGTGGACTGACCAACCAAGCATTCAGCTGGGCATGCCTGGCCACTCTCAGTCATCACATGAAAGTGGTTGATACTAGATGCAGCCAACGTTCCTAGAAGCATGTGTGATAGGCAGAATAATGACCTCCCAAAGATGCCCATGTCCTGATTATCAGAACCTGTGGTTATGAGACCTTATATAGGAAAAGGGACTGAGAATATGTGATTAAGTAAAGGATCTTGGGGTGAGGAAACTCTGGGGTTTTTCAGGAGAGCCAAGTGTAAACACAAGGAGGTCTTATGAATGAAAAATGGAGACAGGAGGCACAGAGTCAGAGAAGGAATTGAGACGAGGGAAACAAAGTTTGGAATAATAGGACTACAGCTTGGAGGATGGAAGGGAGGATGAACAGGAAGGCAAGGAGTCTTCAAAAGCTTGGGAAGGCAGGAGAACTTGTCCTCCCTGGAGCCTCCAGAAAGAACCTCACCCTAATGACAAGTTTATTTTAGTCCAAGGAGATGATTTGACGACTTGTGGACTCAAGAACCACGAGTTATTATGCCTGTTTTGTGCTGAGTCACTAAGTGTATGATGTTTGTTATAACAGCAATAAAAGGCTACTACAATGGACATCTGTTTTTGTTTGTTTGTTTAGTTTGAGCTCTGCAAACTCAAGGTTTCTTTCTCCTTGTTCAGTGACATATCCCCAGGGTGAACTACATCACAAATACTTCATGAATATGTGTTGATGCTTAGACAAGAAAGAGATGAAGACAAGGCAGACAGAAGCCTGGTATCAGATGAGACCCCTTTTTCTGTCTGAAATATCAGCACAGAGCCTGGTGTCCACCCCAGACTCAGCTCTAGAAAAATGAGAGCAAGAGTTCTAAAAAGTTCAGTTCCCTTTATTGTGGGCTGTGGATGAGTTAATCTTGTGACAGAGAGGACCAACCCTTCAAGTGACCACACCCTGCATGTCTGGCTGTCCTGTGGGCAGCGTGGTCTCACTCATCTGACACCAGGGGAGAGAGGGAGGAGACACCATGACCTCGACCCTCACAGCTCTGCTCTGGTTTGGTAATATGTGAACAGGAGGAGGGAATGACCCTGTCTGGGAAGAACCCTACCCCACAGCCAGGCCCTAGTCTATCAAGAAATCTCAGGGGATCAGGGGAAGGAGAGAATCTTCCCAACCTTCTATGGAAAAATCTCTCACAGGAAACTCTCTTTCAGGGCTGAGTCTGGGCCCCAAGACCCGAGTGCAGGCAGGTGAGTCTGTCCCAGGTGGTCCCAGGTCCCACCTCCTCACTGGGGATGAGGAACCACCCCCAGGCTGCTGGGAATGCAGAAAACAACCCTGGGATTAGTGATGAGAATGTCTAGAGGGTCCTGGGATCTGAGGGGTCGGATTGTCGTGGGACTCAGGCTCTAATTTCTTTCCAGAGACCCTCCCAAAACCCACCTTATGGGCTGAGCCAGATTCTGTCATTCCCTGGGGAAGCCCTGTGACTATCTGCTGTCATGGAACCCTGGAGGTTCAGACATACTGTCTGAATAAAGAGGGAGACTCGGGGCCTTGGGACAGAAAGAACCTACTGAAACCCAGAGACAGGGCTGAGTTCTACATCACATCCATGACAGATGACTACACAGGACGATATTCCTGTCACTATCACAGCTCTGCTGGCTTCTCAGAGCAAAGTGAAATCCTGGAGCTGGTGGTGACAGGTAAGAGAACATTCAGGGGTCCCAGCCCCAGGTTCAGCCTTCTGCAAGGGGGTCAGCTCTTAGGTGTCTCTGTTTTCACAGCCCAGCCCTGGAAAGTCATGTGGGAGGTGTGAGCCCCACGTGGCACATTGCATTCCTTCATCCTAGGATTCTACAATAAACCGACCCTCTCAGCCTTGCCAGTCCCTGTTGTGACCTCAGAAGAAAACGTGACCCTCCAATGTGATTCACAACTGGGATTTGAAAGGTTCATTGTGTCTGAGAAAAAAGAACACAAGTTGTCCTGGACTCTGGACTCACAGAAACACCCAAATGGGCAGTTCCAGGCCTTGTTTCCTTTGGGCCTTGTGAATTCCAGCTACAGGTGGACATTCAGATGCTATGGCTATTTCAAGTTCAAACCCCTGGTATGGTCGGCCCCCAGTGACCTCCTGGAGATCCTGATTACAGGTAAGGAGTCAAATTGCTTCAGTTCAATATTTTGCATAATCCTTGTCAGAGAATCCCCAGGTCATCATGACCATGATGAGGTGTAGGGGTCTCAAGAGAGGAAGAAAGGCAGGAGATTTGGGGACAGGGAGTCAACAGAGACAGACAGAGAGACTGAGTGTCCCCAGAGTGATGCCCTGGGGAGGTTCTCAGCTCAGAGCCAGGTGGGGCAGCCCCTCACCATCCTCTTCTTTCCAAGACAGCTCCCTGACACATCCTCCTTCTAGCTGGGCTCTATGGTGGCCTGAGGAGAAAATGTGACCCTGCCATGTCAGTCATGGCACCTGGTGAACACTTTTCTTCTGTTCAAGGAGGGACAGCGGGTCTCTTCCCACCTCTGGGTCTCAGATGAAAGTACCAAGATCAGCAGTACCAGGACGAGCTCTTCCTCTCTGAGTCCTGTGACCTCAGTCCATGGGGGTACCTTAACATGCTATGGCTTACACAGCATCTCCCCATACCTGTTGTCACACCTCAGTGACTTCCTGGAGCTGGTGGTCTTAGGTGAGGAGTCTTGACCCTGTTCTCTTTAAGCTCAAATATTCAGCTAAGGGTCCTGCCCCTAGGAGAGCTCTGGGTGCTAATGAATGAGGGGAGTGAAGACAGAATTGCCACAGGGGAGGATCCAGCCCACAAGAGTGAGGACACAGACAGCCACCACCCCTCAGCACAGCCTTAAAATCTCATTCAGAGTAGCGTGTAAGGAGGGCTTGGATGAGATGCTGGTGAACTTTGGAGTTCATGTGATCAGACCCACCCACGCATCTCTTAATGTCTGCATCTCAAAATCAGAACCTCCAGGTGTCCCAGTTCCTCAACAACAGGTCCTGAGCCACAGGTGATGGAAATACAGTTACTCTGAACCAATACTATATTCTAGATACATCTCTATTTCTAATATTTAGCAAGGGTCTGTTACACAGAAGAGAAGAGGTTGGACATTAATATCTTGGTTTATGTGACTTCCTGGCCCACATGGGGCACTGGTTCACTCTCTGGTGTTCAGAGGAGAGGAAAGGGTATGAAGTTTCGGTCTGAAGGAGGACTCAGAGTTCATGGGGTGCAGAATCCTGGTTTGTCTTTCCCTTTCTGAGCAAAATTCCGAGAAGCCATCTCTACTCACTGGGGAGCCAGGGCCAGGGGAGGAAACAAGGAGTCTGGGAGTGAGGACCCTGGAAGGTATGGATGAGTCTGTGTAGTATCAGCTGCTCCTGGGAGGTGGGATTTCTGAGAAAGCCCTTTCACCTCCTGTCCTGGGTTCCAATCTGATAAGGAGGAGCTTTCTGGACAGAACCTTCAAAGTCTCCTCATTTCTGACTTTTAGAATAAATGGGCTCATCCTGAACCTGCTCCCATCTCCAGCACTCTCTGAGCCTGTTCTCTTTCTCCAACCACTGAGACCCTTAAAAATTAAAAGGTCAAAAGAAAAAGGGCAGTTTCGTGCCATTTTTATCCATCAATTCTGGAGTCTTTAACTTGTTAGAGACACAGCATTATAGAAACAGCAAAAAATTATGAATTTCCACTTGTTTTGAATTTCTGGGTGTAAATTTATCAAACTAAACCTTTCAAATTGTTTACTAGAGACCACACTACAAACAGATGTGCATGACTTCCAGGTCCATAACCTGGCTTGGAGGAAGTGTGATGAATAGGAGGAAGACCTGCAGGGTGAGCAGGATTTATGATCCAACCCTGACGTGAATTCAGGAATGATGTTGGGGCTGATAGAGAAGGAAAGTGTTGAGCGAGGTGAAGAGAAGACAGACAGATGCTCCCTTGGCAGCTCTTATTCCTTACCTCCAAGAGACCCTGAGGAGGGAGTCCCTCACCCGCACATGAGAGCGTCCCTGAGCCCTCTCATGACAGAGCAGGAGGCTGCGTGGGCCTCAGTGAAATCTGACTGTGGTGAGGGTAAAGCCCACAGAAGACACGCTCCTTCAGAGAGAAGCCCCCCATCTGTGGGTACTCTTCAGCAGGGCCCCTCCTTTGCTCACCTAGTGGTGTCTATACTTAGGGCTCGTTTGAGCTGCAGCAGGAACCATGCACCTACTCCCTGGGGCAAGTTAGGGAATGATCAAAAACACCTCTTGTGTGCAGGTCATTTCTACTCGAAGTATTCTTTTTCACACTTGCCTACTGTTGCTCTATTTCTGAGACTTTAAAATGAAAACTTAAATAGGCAAACATTTTTTTTTATTTTAAAGCTTTGGGGTAAAATTCAGGGTTAGGTATACAAATGTTCATTATGCAACTACCCTTGTTGTAAAGGTGCCCTCCTCTCCCGGCAAATTCCCAATGCTGCCAATCATTTTCTTATAGTATCACAGTCATTGTTTAAAGTCTGCTTATCAATGAGAACATGTGGTACTGAGTTCTTTGACAAACTTATAATTTTTAATGAAGTATTATTTAAAAATAAGTACTGCATTATTTTGGTTGAGATTGATTTAATTTATACATTCACTATAGAAAATAATTTTTCATCGATATCAAGACTTCCTACACATTAAACATTGGAGTTTATTAAAGAAGACTTATTTTTATAAATGTATTTAAAATAATTTTTTGTATTTATTCTAATGTAAAGAATATTTCAACTAGTTTAATAATTTATAAGGAGATAGTTGATTCATTTATATTTTTAAATAAGAAGTAGATATACATAAGAAAACTATTAATTTGAGTATATTCATTTTATTTCATATTAACTCACTACAAAACTTGTCATTTCTGATTATTTTTTAGTAATTCTCTCTAATTTGCTGATAATAATTATATAAACTTATGGATCAAAATCAAATGGAAATTACAATTCTTTATTTCTAAATTGCATGTCAGCTTTTTTTTACTTTCTGAATATTTGATTATTTCATTTTACTTCATTTTTGTTTTATTGTATAGATATGGGGTACAAGTCAGGATTAAATATGCTTCATGCAGGCAAAGTTTCGGCCTCCAAATGGCCCTCACTTCCCCTGGATTGAAGCCAATTACTCTTTGTGTTGTCACGTGACTTCCTTCTACCCTTCCTCCCCTGGCAGTGTCCAGTGATGCTGGTTCCTTCCTTGTGCTAATACGATTAATGTTCTGGTCCCACTCATGAGAGAGAACATGCGATATTATTTAGTCTTTGTTTCTGTGGTAAATTACTAAGTATTATGTTGATTATACATTCAGTTTTCTCTGAAGTCCATGTTTCCATCCTCCTTGATGTCTGCATACTACCACATTATGTATATGTACCACATTATTTTTATTCAATCCACTTTGGATTGGAGGTGGGCTTTTGCTATTGGGAATAGTACAGCAATAAACATGTCTGTGCAGGTGGTTTTTTGGTTGAATGATTTATGTTTCTCTCGATATATTCTCAGGAGAGGTATTGTGGGATCATAAGGTCAGTTTTGTGTTCTATCAGGAAACACCACACCGCAATTCCTAAAAGAGTTTGAATTCATATGCACTCCCGCCAACAGTGTAGAGGCATTTCATTTTCTCTGCATCCATGTCATCATCTTTTGTTTTTTGCCTTATTAATCATAGCATCCTTACTAAATTTAGGTGGTATTTCAATGTAGTTTTAATTTGCATTTCTCTGATGATTAGTGAGGCTGAGCATTTTTTCATGTATTTATTGGATGTTTATATATTATTTTGAAAAGTGTATATTCACATTCTTTGCCTACTTTTTTGAGTCAGAGCGTCACTCTGTTGCCCAGGATGGAGTGCAGGAGCACACTCATGTCCATCACAGCATCAACCTGCTGGGCGCAGGACATCCTTCCACCTCAGCTTTCCAAGCACCTGGAACTACAGGAAAATGCCACAACACCCCACTCAATTTTGGTTTATTGTAGAGTTGAGGTCACATCAAGTTGCCCAGGTTGACTTTGAACCTCTGGGTTCAGACGTTCCTCTTGTGTCTGCCTTCCAAAGTGCTGGGATTGCAAGCATAAGCTACCACTCCTGGTCTTTGCCCACTTTTTAATAGGTTTTGTGTGTGTGTGTGTGTGTGTGTGTGTGTGTGTGTGTGTGTGTGTGTGTGTGTGTGTTTCCTTTCAACTTGACTAAGTTCCTCGTAGATCCTGGAAGTTAGGCCTTTGTCAACTGCATTATTGGAAAATATTTGTATTTCCCATTCTGTGGGTTTTCTTCCAACTCTCTCGATGGTTTCTTTTGCTGTGAAAAATATTCTCAGTTTGATCAGATTCCGCTTGTCTATCATAAGTTTTATGGCATTTGATTTTGGAGATTTGATCAACAAGTTATTGCCTATTTAGATGTGCATATGAGTCTTTCCTATGTTTTCTTCCAGGGTGTTTATAGTTTGAGTTTTTACAATTAAGTATTTGACCAGTTTAGAGTTTTGTTTTTTAATATGGTGATAGTTGGGCTCCAGTTTTATTCTTTTGCATGGAGTCAAACAGTTTTCCCAGCAACATTTGATAAATATGGTCTTCTTTCGCCAGTGGTTGTTATTGGTGGCTTTGTCAAAGATGAGTTGATTAAGAGAAGAAGTTTTAGTGGCTCAGTGGCTCAGCCAGTAATCCTGCACTTTGGAAGGCTGAGGTGAGTGGATTGCCTGAGCCCGCGGGTTCGAGACCCGCCTGGGCAACTTAGCGAGACCTCATCTCTACAGTAAATCAAAAAATCAGCTGGGCATGGTAGCGCATGCCTGTAATTCCGGCTACTCAGAAGGCTGAGGCGGAAGGATCAACGAAGCCCAGCAGGTCGAGGCTGCAGTAGCTGGGAGCGGCCACTGCACTCCAGTCTGGGCGACAGGGTGAGACTCCAACTCAAAAAAAAAGAGAGACCAAGTTTTTGCTTCCAGAATCTCTGTCCTGTTCCATTGGTCTATGCGCCTTTTCTTGTACCAATAACAGCCTGTTTTAGTTACTGTTGCCTTATAGTAAAGTTTAGAATCTGGAAGTGTGATACTTCCTCCTTTGCCCCATTTGCTAAGGATGGCTTAAACTATTCATGCTTTTTTTGTTTCCATATGAATTTCTGTATTGTCCTGTCTGTATTGCAAAGAATCTGTATATTACCTTAGGCAAAATGGACATCTTTACAAGATTGAGCCTTCCTAACCATGAGCATGGAATATTTTTATTTGTTTGTGTCATCCTTGATTTCTATGAGCAATGTTTTATAGTTCTCCTTGTAAAGATCTTTCACTTCTCTGGTTAGGTGAATGCCAAAATGCCGAGGTAATTCATTTAGTTTGTAGGAATTTTAAATGGTATTGTGCTTTTTTTGATTCTTTGGTCTAATACATTATTTGTATTAAATGTTGGACAAATATTTGGTCTACAATGTTAACAAACTATAAACTGAAGTTAAAAATCCTCCCCACTGCCTGTTTTTTTTTTCTTTTATTTTATTTTAAAGATGTGGGGTACAATTCAGGATTAGGTAGATAAGTGATCATTTTACAGGTAAACATTGGATCTCCCGTTGGTCCCCACTTCACCTGGTTTGAGATCATGTACCGTTATTGATGTTATGAGCCCCATCTGGCAGTTTCCTACCACTGAGAATCCCTTTTTTATTGTATTATGATAAATTATCAGGGTTCACTTATGAGTGAGTACATGTGGTACTCAGTTGTTTGTTTCTGTGATAGATCACTGAGTATGAGAGACTCTAAATCCATTCATCTTGCTGCAAGGTCCATAATTCATAATTTTATTCTTCTTTATGGCTGCAAAAATGTTCCATCATGTATATGTACCACGTTTTTGAAGATTCAGTCTACTTTTGATGGGCAGCACGATTGGTTCCATGATTTTGCTATTGTGAATAGTGCTGCAATAAACATGAGTTTATTTTTATAAAAGGATTTGAATTCCTCTGGGTATATTCTTAGAAGGGACATTCCTGGGTCGAATGGAAGATTGATTTTTAGATATTTTATGAATAACCACACTCTTTTCCACAGAAGTTTAAATATTTGACACTCCCACCAGCAGCGTAGAAGTGGATACTTTTCCCCACATCCTCTCCATCATCTGCTGTTTTTTGAGTTACTGATACCTGTCCTGACTGGAATTAGGTGTTATCTCAGTGTGGTTTTAATTTGCATTTCTTTGATGAATAGTGAGACTGAACATCTTTTTATGTATCTGTTGGCTGCTTGTATGCCTTCTTTTGAGAAGTGTCTATTCATATTTTTGCACACTTTTTAATAGGATTGGGTTTTTTAATTTTTTATCCCCTTTTAGCGCATTTGAGTTCCCTTTAGATCCTACATGTTAGGCCTTTGTCAGATATACAGTTGGCAAATTTTTATTCCATTGCGTGGGCTGTCTCCCCACTGTCCTGATGGTTTCCTTTGCTTTGCAGAAGTTTTTCAGTTTGATGAAGTCCCACTTGTCTATTTTATCTTTTGTGGGCATTTGCGATTTTGATCAGGAATTGGTTGCCTATTCCAATTTCCATAAAGGTGTCTCCTATATTTTTATATTTTGAGGTTTTACATTTAAGTATTTAACCCATTTAGAGTTGACTTTTATGTTTGGTGATTAGTGGGGATCTTGGTTCTCTGTCTGATTTTTTGCAGGTGTTTAGAAATGTCATTGTCTTTTGCACATTGCATTGTTTACCCCGAGTCTTTACCAAGGTAATTATCAGTGAGAGGAAGCTTTTGACAGACTCCCTAGGTGTTTCAAGGTATAAAATCATGTCATCCACAAAGAAGAATAGCTTAAATTCTTATTTTCCTATTTGCATATTCCCGATTTCCTTTTTTTGCCTGATTGCCCAGGCTAGGACTTCCAATGCTATATTGAACAAAAGGGTGAGAGAGCGCATCCTTTTCTTGTCCCCATTCCTGGGGGAATGCTTCCAATTTCTGTACATGAGAAAAATATTGATTGTCAGGGATACCAATTATATGTAGTATTGTTTTTGCAAAGTCACACAGCTTTTAGAGGTTTTGTTTCTGTTTTTGAGGATTATTAAATGCTTTCAACAGACTGCATTATTTCCATATTTTGGTCTTCAAGGCCTGAGATTCTTTCCTTTACTTGCTTGCATTTATTCCCAATACTTGATATTTGCTATTGATTTCAAGGATAAAGCTCTTTATTTACATTATTTAAGAAAAGGCTTTTTGAAGCTGGCCATTTCCACTTTTACTTCCTGGACAATTTCTTTGAATTTTGCTTAGTGTTTCTTTTTGTTCCTGGTCATTTGTGCCATCCATTCTCTGATTTCTGTGGTTGTCATCTGGGGCAGGTTGTCCTGGGGGATTTCCATTGTTTGTGATCTAATGACTGCTTTTTTCATTAAAGTCTGATAGTTGCTTGTTTCTTCATTGATCTTTTCTCATTTGTGTTAGAGTTCTCTCAACGCATTGAGAGAGAGAGGAACTCCATCCTGTGCCACGTTCTTGTTATTGCAGATTTTTTCTCCAGCTGTTAAAATAGTGAGTCAGTTTTCAGACCCCTGCTGCAAGTGGCTAATGGGGTTGGGGAGTGAATGAACTGACCCATCGGTTCCCAGAATCGTTCACTCTCCCTCCTTCACCTAGCATAATCTCTGCTCCTGTAAGCACCTAGCTCATGCTGGGTAGGTGTGGTGCCCATTTGTTTGCACCTGCCTTTTTTATCTCTGTATGTTCAAGGAGACACCCACAGGTCATGGGAAATTTCAACCTTATAAAGGTGTCCAGGGTGACTTCTTTAATTGGTGGCTGGATCCCCAGGCTCTGCCCTGCTCTGAAAGAGAGGCACAGGTCTGTTGATCTATCAGGTGCTGGCGGTGGACATGTCAGTCAGATTCATCCAGCTCATAGGCATTTCCTGGGAAATAGACTCTCCATTCCACCCACCATTGCATCCTGACCAGGGTTTCTCTCATGTGACACTGACGTTTTGTGCACTATTGGGAGGGAGTTAACTGACTCAAAGCATCTCATAATCACTCACTGCTTTCCTTCTTTGAACATTCTGCCTTTTCTTTGCACACCTGGTGCAGGGAGGAGCATGGGGTGCCTGGAATTCCATACTTATCATGACCATCTGGACTTTGCTCAGAGAAACTTTCACTAGTTTCACCATGGTTAACCCGTCCAAAAGTGTTCAGAGTATCTATGTCTAATGGTAATTGAGTCCCTACTCTGTCTTGCTAGGTGAGAGTGGTGCTTATATCCTCCACAGTGGTCATTTTGGCTCCATTCCACTCTTCATTTCAGTTTTCTCACTTCAAATAATAAAATGTATGCTATACATGTTAAATAAATACTTAAAGTTTTGCATATTTGCAAATGATGTATTATTACATAGCTATCTCTGAATATATTATATATATAGTCACACATATATTCTCAATATTTTGAAATGGTATGATTTTTTTCCTGCCCCTTCCCATCCCTCTCCTGCTGGTATGACTTTTTATGTTCATTATTGATCTTCACACCAAGATTTACATTTCATAAAAGCAGAAATATTGTTTTATAAACCTCTGATAACACCACCATTTAGAGAACATATATTTGTATATGAACATGTGTGTATATGTATCACCTTCTAGTTGTTAACATCATGAAAAATTTGTTAATGAAAAATTAAATGGACAATAAGTCACCAGGAGAACCGACTGACATAGCATGTAGGAAATGCAGTCCCAGACTTTCAACCCTTGTGCTCCTGACATTCAGGAACCCTGAGGGTCAACACCTAATCCAGGGAGTCTAGTTTCTCATTAATGAAAAACTGTAAATATTTATCTCAGGGAAATCAGCTGTCATATTTCTGTGTCCCAGACTAAACCAAGATCATACAAGGGCTTAATTATTTCTCTACTAGGAGACTACTTTTCATTCAGAACCTGAAATCTCAGCAAACAGAAAGAATCTTCTCTCATAATGACCTAGAAGTCAAATTTAAATTTGTAAAACTCAGGAAGGCTAAAATAACTTGATGAAGAGCCTGGAAAGAATTTTGCTACTGCAGAGAAGAAGATTATTGAAAAAATCATGCCATAAGACATGGGGAAATATGAGAATGTAGAACCCAGAGGTTAAACCAGGGTAAAGTCTCTTCAACTTCTTAAGTTTTCCACTATTTTGATTATCAGGAGAAGCTGAAAACAACAGCCTATCACAGAACAAATCTGACTCCAAGACTGGTGAGTGAAGAGAATCTCTCAATTATGATGCTGGACACAGAAGTTCAGGTTCTTCCAAGGGGAGGTGGGTGCCCTTGATGTCCAGTCAGGGTATCTGGTGGATTTTGATCTGCTCTGACCTCTGTGACCTCCTTGTCCACTGTCCCCAGCTTCACTGCCTCAGGATTACACAGTGGGAAATCTCATCCGCATGGGAGTTGCTGCCTTGATCCTGGTGTTCCTCGGGATTCTGATACTTGATGCTTGTGATGACTAAAGAAGCCCCCAAGAATCAGTCAGAAAGGAAAAATGAAAGAGAACAATGCACCATTTGGAGTGGTAGACCTTGAAATCAAATTTGATGATCCCAGAAAGTTCTGGAATAAAATATTTCCTATTTACTATCTGGACTGTCTGCTGGTCATTTCCAGAAGAAGGAATAAAGGTATTCCTCAAGATAGCAGTGTCCAAGGGACACTGTCTGGGATAATCCCGTGGAGGACCATTAAAATCTGACACTTTTTCCCTCCACCTTTGTTGGCTTTTCTTGGCTGGATCCCCTTCTATTCTCAGCTTCAGACATGAGACTACTACAAATGTGGCAGTTTTGAGTCCACACTTCTGCACACTTGAAAGCTCTGATCCATTGCTACGTGACCCCAGTCGTCTTTATTTGTCATTATCACACTCCTGGATGGGCTTTATTGATATCTAGGGATCCTGGATCTCTTCAGTTTAGAGTTCCACACCTGGTTCTGTTAGCAAATCAATGGAAGAAGGCCAGATCCAAAAAGGACAATATAAAACTAAAAGGATGCCCCAAACCCCTGTCTAGACTCTATAGCCCTTTCCTCTTTATTGGATGCTAAGTAACTTCTCCTGAAATAGTATCACTTGGAGTCATCACAGAGGCATTTGAAGTGACAACACTGTGGTATTTGAATTCTGAAATAGTTTTTTTTAAATGCTCTGATAAAATTTTCAGATTCGGCAATGTAATTTTTTCATGACAAAATTCATGATTTTGATGTAGTATCACTGAATGCAGAGTTGGGAAGTGAAGAACAGCATTTTCTATACTTATGCATAACAAGCATCTGAAGCAAGTCTCCCTGACAGCTCACAGACACACCTCTACTTGTCTATTTTAGAGATAATAATAATTTTTACTTATGTGTTATGGCTCAGTTAAAAAGAAATTACATAACCATAATTCTAGCATACCCACAAGAGGTAAAAGACAAAAGTTTTGACATTCAATGTAAAAGATTAATGGAATAACTTAAAAATTCAATATAGCATCAAAAATGTCAACGGAGCCATGACTGTTCTGCAAGTCCTATGGAAGAATTTTTAGTAGACTTCTACCACCTTCTATTGTCCCCAGGCACTCCCTGGCTTGTTGCAGCATTACTCCAATTTTTATCTCCATCTTCACAATTTGACTTCTCCCTGTATGCCTCTGTCTTCATATGGCTTTCCTCTGTGTGTCTCTTCTTGCTTTCAGATACTAATATCAGTTATATTGAATGGGACAATTCTAATTCCTCATGAATTTCTTTATTTGAACGCATCTGTAAATGTCTTACTTCCAAATAGCTTCACATTTATAGATAATATGGCTTAGAAATTCAACATATCTTTTTAAAAGGTAATTCATCTCTTAATGGCATCTGAAAGAAAAATTTGCTTAGAAGTCTGTTTAACCGAGAAGATACAATACTTATACATAGAAAATTGAAAGTACTACTTTAAAATAAAGAACTTTTGAAGGACTTACATAAGTGAAGCATCATTCCAGGATCATTAATTGAAACATTTAAAGTTGTATAGATGGCAATATTTACCTAGATTATCTAGAATCAGTGTGATGCCCATTATAGTTCGAGTGCCTTTTGCAGAAATGGAAAATTCATATAGAATTTCAAAAGACACAGAATAGCAATTTTTAAAAGTTAAAAACTGCAGTTTTTATTTGAAACATATTAATAAGGTACAATAATCAAATCAATCTGGCAATGGCATGAGAATAGACTTGTGGATGAATGCAATAGAACTGAAGAAAGGAAGTGAATGCATAAAATAATAAACTGTATTTCATAAGGCTTCCAAGATAACTCAACTGGTAAAGAATAACCTCTTCAATGCATGGTATTAGGAAAACTGGATATCCACACACAAAATAATAAAGTTGGAAGTTTACACACATCACACAAAATTAAGTTAAGTTAAAAGAAATAAAAGTTTGAGCTAAAAATATAAAACTCAGAATAAAATCTGAGGGTACATTTTCAGAACATTGAACTTGACAATCATTTTTTAAAAATATGACCCACAGTACAAGGCACAAGAAAAAATGAATAAATAAGAAATCATTAAAATTTAAATTTTGCATGCATCAAAGGGCATTATCAAAAGAATGAAAAGGCACCTATAAAATTGCAAAAAAATTGTCAATCATGTATCTGTTAAGATTTTTCTGTCCAAACTGTACTAAAAAATACCTTCAATTTATCAAGAGCAGGAAAGGAGCGCAATTGCAAAATCATCAAAGTACTTGAATAGGTATTTTTACACACAGGACATACAAGTAGATAGCCAGCACAGGAAGAGATACTAAACAGCATTAGTTATTATATAAGTGCAAATAAACCACAAAGAGATACCACCTCCCAATTACTAGTTTAGCCATATTTCAAAAACAGAAAATAAAATGTTGATATGTGGAGAAATTGAAAGACTCATCCATTGCTAGTTGGAAAGTTAAATAGATCAGCTACTGTGTCAAGCAGTTTGAGAGTTCCTTGAAGCATTGAACTTATGGTTCAACTTATGTAAATCAATAGCCCTAAAACGTCATAACAACTGATACAGGACAAAAATTATATGATCATCTCAATAGATAAAAATAAAATCATTCTTTCCTCTAAGAAATGGAACAAGAGAAAATGCCAACATTCACCACTCCTAATCAACATAGTACTGAAAGTCCTTGCCAGAGCAAATGGACAAAAAATGAAAAGACATCCAGATTAGAAAAAAGAATGTCTTATATATAGAAAAACCTAAAAACTTGGCCAGAAAGTTATGAAAATGAGCAACAAATTTAGTAAAGCTGTAATATAGAAAATCAATGTGCAAATATCTGTAGCTTTTTTATACACTAATCATATTTAGCTTCAAAAATCAGGAAAGTAATCTTATTTACAATATCCACACAGAGAAAACGTATCTATGAATAAATTAAACCAAGGAGTTGAAACATTTCTACAGTGAAAATGATAAAATTCTGAAGCAAAAATGAAGAGGAAACACCAAAAATTTAAATATCACCCATATTCATAGATCTCAAAAGAGTGTTTAAAATAGCCATATTACACAAATAAATCGACAAATACAGTGTGGTCTCTGTCAATATATCAATGGCTTTCCTCACTTAAATATTTTAAAACTTTAGAAATTTGCATGGAACCACAGAACATCTCAAATGATCAAAGCAATTCTGAGCAAAAAGAACAGAGCTAGATTATCACACTTCCTGACCTCAAAATACAATACAAAACTATAGAAACAAAAAAAGCATGATTCTGGCTTAAATCTAATCACATAGACCAATGGAACAGAATAGAGGAACTGAAAATAAGTGCACACATATACAGTCAACTGATTTTCAACAAAATCTCCAAGAATATACATTGGGGAAAGGACAGTATCTTCTACAAATTTTCATGGGTAGACTGGATTTTCATATGCAGAAGAATAAAACTAGACTGCTATCTCTCACAATATGTAAGGATAAACTTAAAAATCAGTTAAAGTCCTAAATATAAGACCTAAAACTCTGAAACTTTGAGAAGAAAATAAAGGAAAAGCACTCCCGGTTACTAATCCGGGCAAATATTTTGGGGGGTAAGGCCCCCAAAGCACAGAAAACGAAAGCAAATATAGACAAATGACATTATGTCAAATTACAAAGCTTCTGCACATTAATGGAAACAGCCAACAGAGTTAAAAAACAGCATGAAGTATAGAGGAAATATGTGGAAGCAATAAATTAATATCCAGAGTAAACAAAAAAGTCAAACAACTCAGGAAATTTGAAGGAGAGTAATACAAAGAGGGTTCTGCTATTTATAGAAATAAGGAAATCAGAGAAAGGAAGATTGCGAGAAAACAAACCAACCAACAAACAGAGACTAAACAGGCGCCACAAGATCAGGCCATGGGGGTGGCTTTGCTTCTCTCTGTGATTCAGTTAAGAGTCTTAAAATCATCTTCCTAAGCCACCTTCTCCTCCTGGGTTTATTCATACTGTAATGGCCCATTTGATTCTTCCAATCAGCCAAAGTAGAGTGACAAAGTTTTCGTTTCTTTGTTATCTGTTTGTTCACATTCAATTAACAAATCCACACCTCTCTACCCTCATAACCCTTCCTGTCAATGTCCTCTGTTTTTTACCAGAGTCCAAACTAGGCTGCCCCCCACCACACACACACACACCACTACTATGTAGCATTTTGGAGCTGTTGTTTCACATGGACACCACAGCCCAATTCCTTTCTTGGGGCATAGTGAAGGTATTAAGGGAGATTGAGACCCTGAGGAGACCCATGCTAGACAACATGGTTTAGCACATCCTTCTCTAGGAAACTTTGAACTCGTATCAGAAATTGGTTGCTTCCAGCACCTTGGTGTGTGGGGGTGTGCTGTCTCATCCCCACAGTGTCATCTCCAATGGAGATGTCACAAATTCTATGGAGTTCCAGTACTTTTTAATACAGATTGTTTGGAAATAGTGAACCTTGTAACCTTGTGGTTTAGCCGCTCACATGACCTGAGTGTCTCTGATCCCTAAACCACTCTGAGGAGTGTGGTTCATGACAATGTATTCCAAATGAGAGTACTGTTCCAAGAGACACTGCTTCCCCCAGTCATCTACAGTGAATGATGATCAGGAATGAAATAAAAACCAGCTCCCTACCCCATCCCAAATCAGAATGCAACCTAATGAATTGATCTGATATCCTTGACCATGGACTGATGTGCAGAGGGATGGCCAAGGAAACAAGAGGACTGAGGAGGTAGGAATGACACAGAGGCTTTTCCCTAGGGATGTGGGAATGGGCACTGCTGGAAAAAGAGAACAAAGGGGAAGTACAAGAAGGGAAATATTCGGTAAAAGAAAAGACACACTAAGGACTAAAAATTATGTTTCCTTCTCTTTATTCTCTGTATGTCCCCTTGAACTTTTTGCCACATGTGGTTTGAAGTGACCTG